GTCCTTACGCGGTAAACAACAAGGATAGAATGAGATACACGCACTCTTTAATATAAAATGTAAAGACATATATTGCTCCTCTAATATAAAGACATACGCTGTTTTATACATACCCCTTCTTCATCACTTAATTTCCACTCTCCTAAATTTCCAATATATCGTCGTAGCTATATACATATACATATATATATAATAAAAGTAAAAACAAAATTATTATAATTTAATAATATTATAAAGTTATTAAAAAATTCGATGTATTACTTACCCTTTTCACTGTTTCAACAATATGAGGATGTTTCTTTAACATTAAAGGATCAATGGAAAGAGACAAAATTTCATCCATCGCTTGTAAGCATTTGTCTGTATTGGCTCGATCCAGTCCAAGATTAGATTTTATTTGAGCATCTAATTGTAAGAGTTGAGCCTCTATACGAAGCCATCTAAAAAATAACATAATAAATGTAAATACTAGTAAAAATCAACATTGACAACACAAATAAAGCTATATTTTAAGCTAAACAGCAGAATATCTCATCAAACCTCAATTTATATGTTTTGCGATGAACAGCTCCATCCTTTGTCAAAAGTCGTTTTTCATCTTCTGGAACTGGTACATTAAAATCTAGAGAATCTTTTACTCGCTCTGGTAACATTTCGCCACTCTCTAATTGTGCTTTGAGTTTCATAGCTTTTGTAGCAGTTGACCAATCCCATTGTGCTCGAGCCTTTTCACTTTCGAAAGATTTCGGCCTATCTATATCTAACTTAATACCCACATATTCACCAGCAAATGTACGAGCTAAGAGAACTCGGTTTGATGTATCAGAAGACGTACCACTCGATACTACTGTTCCATCAAATAAGGAGCTTTCATTATTTCTTTCTATAAATTAAATAAATGATGTTTTTAAAGATGTAACTAATTTAAAAGATTTTTAAAAGTAAAAAACTATCTGTACAAATGCGTACTTTCAATAGCCGCTCTTTTTTTATGCGTCACAGGTGTCATTTGATGCTCATTAGAATCTTCATTTTTCGTTTTACGACCTCGACCAGTATGTTCTAAACAGAATAACATTTACAATTGCATTATACTATAATTTTAAATACAAATATATAAAAAAATAACCGACTTTTTTTTTAAATAAACTGATAAATATAATTAAATATTTTTCCCCCAAGATAAAAATTAAGTTGTTAAAAAAGAAAATTCAGTAGAACTATTATATAAAAATAGAGAGATAAATAGATAAACAGTATTAAAAAAACAAATATTGAAAATTTTATTAATTAAAAATGATGTAGGAGTTGTACAGAAAAAATTTACAGGTTTACATTTACAGATAAAAATTTAGATTTCTGTATACGAATTAATGACAGCTGTTCCAAAAGAACTAATCTTTTTAATTCTTTTGTAGACAAATTCCGAGTTTCATTGGGTTCCTTAAGTCTTGAATATTTTTCAGATATTTCTGATGAAAAAGTCTGGGTTTCTTCATCCACCATTAAATGTGATATAGGTGTCTTTACTGTGCTCCTACCTTTAAATATTAGTTATTATCAGGGAAATTAATTTTAATTTTTGCAAAGAATAACAGTGTATTGTGATACCGATAAACTACAATTCACAATTGAAATGTGATTAATATTTGAATGCGTTATTAAAAACACATTGTGCATTGAATTGAAAAAAAAAAAGCTAATAAAAAGTCGATTATTTCATCATTTATATTTCAATATTTTTTATCCATAAAGTTGTAGAATTCTTTGAAAAAACATATATCATAATAAAAGATTGTTATAAACACAAGTTTATACCTATATTAGTTTCGGTTTCATCTGAACTCGAAAAATCTGCAAAGCGTTTTGGTTTGATCTTGCGTCCACTGCGACTAACTACCTCTTTTGGCGATTCCTCACCTTGTGAATCTAAAGCACCTTCTGCCCTTGACGCATCACTTGAAGCTTTTCCTCTACCACGTTTTCTCTTTATTTCTGGAGTATCTTGCTGCATTATTACATATATTAATTAGATATAATAGATATAAGCTGGTATGTATTTAATTTTATATTCATTTATATAAATATATATGTATAAAAATATAAGGAACAATTGCAAAAATTATTTAAACTTTAAAAATATTTGTCGGCAGTTCCTAAATTTTTTTTGGAGTACATTTAGCCAATAACTGTTTTCTTATACAGTATTGTAAAATATATAGTACTTCAAAACATTACTTTGTACAAATAACAAAATATAAATGTTACTTACAGCAGGATTGGGTGTAGATGTAAGAACTTTCCTCTTTGATTTCTTTTTTTCTCCTTCATCAATTACCAAGGAACCAGCTTCAATGTCACTGTCCGTAGCACTGACAGTTGGTAGTTCTGTTGTTTCAGCACCTATCAAAGTAGCATTTATAATATCCATTTAATTAAAAAATCCATTTAATTAAAAAATATTTTATCTATTTAAATTTTATTGTCAATATTGATTACCTTTAATAGCATCAATATCAGCTAAAGGTTTGTTTCTGTCATTTTTAAGTTCTTGTTCAAGTTGCTGTATACCTTCATGAAAAAATTTTCGACGACTAGGTTTGCCGAATTTTTCTTTGTTTTCAATATAGGTATACAACTCGTCAACTTTGCAAACAGCTCTGAAAGATTTAATATAATATTTTATTAAAAATATCCTTTAATAATATTCATAATAGAGAACTAGAATTATTGTTTATATTATAAGAGTTACTTACGTTTCTCCTGTACCATAAAAGTAAACACAATATTTAGCATTCTTGGAATTTGGATCATTGACTTTTTCGACCTGCAAACAGATGAAGTAAGATGCAAAACAGATGAAGCAGCATGTATTAAATTTTAATATGACAAACAGAATACCTATCATGGAACATGTCGGAATGAATTCTGATTGAAATTATTTCATTTTCCCTAGAAAACACACAATAGAAATCTAGAAAGTAATTAAATAATTCCAATCGGACTTTTTCCATAACAGGTATTCAGAATTGACATATATGTTCTTTCAAGGAAAATACATTAAGCCTATTCTACATTTGTTTCCTGTTTTTTGTTTTTTACCTTTTGCCTTTAACTCCTATGTAACCGTTTTATCGACAATTGTATTTCTCGTTTCTTTTGAAATTTGTTAATTCTTATCTCAGTCGATATAAAACAAAAAACCAAATATGAAGCAAAGACAAGATGTAAAAAATAGCAAAAAGCAAGAAACTGGAAACAAAAAGCACATTGCAGAACAGGCTTTATGATGCATGTCGAAATATAATCTCCAAGAATATATATATGATTGACAAATATAATGAAACATTGATAGAAATATAACTTACGACGCGCGTTTATTAGCGTGATTGGTAACGTGCCACGGATTATCGTTAATGTTATCTCGCATTCTGCATGGATCCCGCGTTTTTCTCGCTCCTAAGCGAGAACCACGGTCATCCAAGACGCAGCCGCGAGTAACAAACACGATCTGAGTAACTTTTGAATAATTTACGTCACCACACCCCGCAACATCCCTATTAGTCATTCTTAAGGGATAATAAAATAACATTGCATCTAATATAACGGTCATCGGAAGATTCGTCCAGGTAGCATCGCGTCTCGATACGAACTTACCTTGGCTGGCCATGGCGGATAACCTCGAACTTTGGCGAATACCTTGTCACCGGCCAAAAATCTTTTTAGTAGCTTCACCATGACTACGAATAATCCGCTATCGCGGCACCGATCCGCTTTATCGTATATTTAATCGTTAAACGTTACAATAACGATGTGATGCAGTTAATCTTGCAGAGCACAAAACACCGCAACAACCGCCATTTGCACGACAAATATCGAAAACACGCAGAAGAGATACGACGCTCAGCTCAGATTGGCGGGATTGGCCGTGGCGTCAACGAGTGGTTGATCTACCGCGCAAAGTCGAGCAAAACAGTGTTGCCAGTCGTAGGAATTTAATAATTAATCTAAAAACTAATCAGCAGTTCTCTGAGAGAAACCGAGTATATTAAAAATTCAAGGAAATATTATCTATTAAGGGTCGGTTGTTCCATCTTTTGGTAAATTTTACCTGTTAGATAAGTAGCAAGATTACCCAATCGCATGCGTGGATTACTAAATTTACTTCACAGGTAAAATATGCCAAAAGGTGGAACAATCGACCCTAAGAGGTCAGAAAATGTCGTTGTAACGTAAGAATTTCAACCTATCAAAAATCATATATTGTTGAAAGAAAACTTTCAACAGTTGCAAAATAAACGTTATGTTGAACGCAGTCATTGGCTCGCAGCGCTCGCTGTTATTAGTGTATTTATTTAGATCATCCGATCAGCATTTTATATCTGAAAGAATACATCAATGACTGCGTTCAGCACAATGTATATTTTGCAACTGTTAGAAGTTTTCTTCGCGCTGATTGAGTTATGCTTTTAGATCAAGAGGAATAGTCCTATCTCAACAGACAATCAAAAAACGGTTGCAAAATTCTTGTGTTCTGCTGAACGCAGCCAATAACAGCGAACGTTCACTCAACTGTTGAGTGAGCATTTGCTGTTATTGGTATTCTTTTAGATCATCCGATCAGCATTTTAGATCTAAAAGAATATATCAATAGCAGCGAGCGCTTACTTAACTGTTAAGTCCGCTGAACGCAGCTATTGCTGCAGGATCTCGGATGAGAAAGAATTGAACAATTTGTGAAATACTCCAAATGTTTAAATGTGATTTATTTTTTTTTCTCTGAACTCTCAGAGCGATTCTTAGCATCAGCTGTGTTCCCAAATTTACTATCTGTATTGAAAATCTATAATGTACGTAATGTAAACTATAGATTTTCAGTACTGACAGTAAATTGTGGAATACAGCCATCGTCAACACGAAGCTTAAAATTTCGCGCCATACGAGCGGCAACCGTATGATAAGCAGCTGCGTCGCCGTCGATGCGTTTGCGGACGCGCAATTAGGACGCGACTCAATGGACACCGACACGGGCTGCCTGTCAAATATACGGGATTCACGCGACGCTTCTTTCGAATGAGCTTGGCGGCGTTCTGAGGACATGGTGCGATGTCGCATCCGACGGTGGCCACAATAACGCGCGTGAACCACATTGAACTTCCACGAGGACCGCCGAGCAAAATGTAAGTATATGCCGCTTCATTTGTAATGCACATCTAGCGCCCTGTACGCGCGATGTTTCCCCTTTTCCAATCTCGCGAATTTCCCATGGGACGCGTGTCCCATCAGGAAATCCCGACGTGTTAACATGCTCCCATTCACGTCGTTAAAAGTATATCGTTCTTCCTTTGACATACCGCGATCGTCTCCCGCCGCTCGATATTACGTTCGCCTGACCATGTAAAGAACTCTGATTAATCAGTCATGTCACAGATGAGATCTCGCATTACTTTCTGGTCGTTAGATTTGCGTGACATGATACCACGAAATAGCTTAAACGTCTGCGAGAATTACTGCGTATAGTAATGAAAATTGGATTTAAAATTTAACAGTATATTGTAAAAAGAAGTAGAGTGTGTTCATTGAATATATATTATGTAAATTATATATACATATATTTGTGTTGATAAACTTGAAAAAAATTGACAGTATATTGCAAAAAAGAGTTGAACATATATGTTATATTTGTGTTGATAAAGTTTAAAAAAATTGATATATTATACAAGCAGAAAGTGAGTGTGATATGTATATTGAATGTTGTATGTATATCCATGTTATGATAAAGTTTAAAAAAAATGTCGATTTTGCGTAATATGATTAATATAAGTTATTTAACTTCTGATATGATGATCAATGTTATTCGAAATTCAGAAAGAATATATTTTATGCATGATGACTTTAAATGCAAAATTCAAATTGTATATAATTTCGTTGTCTTCAGATATCACACAAAGACTAATAATATTTCTGATATAGTTTAAAAGCAGAAATATCCATAAGATGAGAAATTGTAATATATAATCTTTTAATTCAATTTTATTAATTATTTATATTAATTTTTTTTTTTGCATTATATTACAAGCAGATGAACTCCGAATCTCAACGGCAGCATTATGTATTACTACGATGAAAGATGCTAATTCTTAAGGAGCTCTGCTTCTGTTGAAGTGGTTCTGGTTCAAGAGGCCTGCTAAAGCACAATGAGAGCCATTGTATCAATCGTGCTGATCACACTGCTGTGTGGCATAAGCTTAGCTCCTATCAATGCCATTAGGAAATGTGCCAGTAGAAAGAAAAATGTTGAAAATCTTTCTTTGAAGCAGAATTCAGCAGATGTTACATCCAATGATCATAATGTATGTTTTTTTCATAATAAGCTAGTGCTTTTTGAAAATAATGAGTCTAAAATTATATAATATAAACAATATGTTCACACTAATTACAAAATATTTAAAATATATATCTGACTTTTAGATAAATGAAGATGTGAAATTTGAGATATGTAATAATTTCTGTCATGCCTTGTGGCAAGAAGATAAAACAGCAAATGGCACTGAAATAACTATTTTGTCTCAAGGTATATATCGTGTAGGAATTCATTATGCATAAATAATCATTATTAGATATAAATATAAAATATTATTGTTTTGATACGGACTAGGTTGTTGGAAACAGTCTGGTGAACAAAAATGTGAAAATATAGAATGTGTTGCACTCCAGAGATCTACAAAAGCTTTGAACAACACAAAGTTTTGTTGCTGTCACGGAGATTTTTGTAATCGCAATATTACAAGCTCCAATCTTGCAGATCCGGATAACAAAATATTTAATCCTCTTTCATCGCAAAAGAGTCAGCCAAGTAAGATAACAGCATTAATAACAGCTATTAATTATTATATAGTAGAATATTTTATATTTACTTTTAACTTGATATTTCATAGAAACGATAATTAGAAAATATTTTTTTTAATATATTATTTTGTAATATTTTTCAGCTACAGAATATCTTGAACAGTCAAATTATGAACGATTATTGCTTATTATAATAACCGGCGTAGCATGTACATCGCTAGTAATATGTACTATATCCATGATTATATACAAATCCTCTCACAACAATATTTTAATAAGATTAGGAAAATCATTATCTTACAATGATCAGTTCATGGATAGCACAGCATTAAGAACTGGTACTTACACTGTTGATCATTTGAAACTCGCAAATATTGTAGGTATGTTCTTTTTGATCAAATTAATTAATAATCCTTATTTATTTAATATTACAATGAATGTTACAATGAATAAATGCTTAATTCCGTTTATTATAATGTGTATTATAATCACAGGTCAAGGACGATACGGATCAGTTTGGCAGGGCAGTATGGGAGATCAAGATGTTGCAGTTAAAATATATCCATCACATTATCGCAATTATTTTCAGAATGAAAGAGATACTTATTGTCTACCTTTTATGGAACATCCATCATTATTAAGCTATTATGGTTGGCATTTTTTATTGAACTTAAAACAAATTATATTAAAACCAGCGATATAACATGAAAAAACGTTTTTCTTTTTTAAATATTTGATTACTTAATATGATAATATAAAATTTATTATTTATATATTAATATATAATTTATTATTTATATATTAATATATAATGAATATTAATTAATATTTAATATAAATTTCCGTTTTAGGTGTGGATGAAAGAATAAGCATGGAAGGTAGTATTGAATATCTTTTGGTACTCAGTTTTGCTCCGGGTGGTAGTTTAACAGAATTCTTACGAACTCACACTATTGATTGGAACACATTCTGCAAAATGAGTCTTTCCATTGTTAAAGGACTTGCTTATTTACATACGGATATACGCAAAGGTGGTATGTATTGCATTACTTGTTCAAAAAGTGTGGAAATATTTAAAATATTGTTGATTACTTTTTTTTGTTAAAGTAAAATGTAATTAGATAATTCTAATATTAATATTTATATAAATATTAATTTTTAGACAAGTTTAAGCCATGCATTGCACATAGGGATATAAATTCAAGAAACATATTAATTAAAGCTGATGGTTCTTGCTATATTTGTGATTTGGGATTAGCAGTTCAAATTTCTGGATCGAAATATTATTCTAATGGAGAGGAGCAGCATGCCGAATTAAAATCAATTAATGACGTGAGTATCAAAATATCTAAGGTTATGTATATTCTACAATTCAATTTCCATCAAAATTTATTATACTAGGTGGGCACTCTGAGATACATGGCGCCAGAAGTGTTGGATGGTGCTGTTAATTTACGGGATTGCGAAAGTTCTTTAAAACAAATAGATGTTTATGCAATGGGTTTAGTTCTTTGGGAACTGATTACAAGATGTTCTGACATTTATATTCCTGGATCGGATGTACCGCAATATAAACAACCATATGAAAATGAAATAGGTTTGTGTATAAAAAATATTTCTCAAAATGATGATGAATTTATATCTTATTTAAGTTATTTATGAAATATTTTTATTTATATATTTTTTAGGTCTTCATCCAACGTTTGAACAAATGCAAGTCTTAGTATCACGTAATAAAGCAAGACCACTTTTAGAAGGTAACTTAGTAGATAGACCAGGAGTGCGTTTGATTAAGGAAACTATAGAAGATTGTTGGGACGCTGATGCTGAAGCTCGTTTAACTGCTTTGTGTATAGAAGAACGACTTTCAGAACTGCAATCTCATCGTGGTAATGCATTTATCATTATTTAGCAAACTATGATTTTTACATTTTCTAAAAGAAAAATAAATTGTAGTAACGATGCACTTTACTGATGGAAGTCCAATGGTGAATTCTCACTGCACCTTAGTGCCTTCAACGACAAACAGTCTTTATAGTGAATCCTCGCATCATGACAATGTACATGTTGTTCAACTTGCATTGAACATGGTGCAAGATAGTAATACTAACGATAGTGCAATAGCTGAAAATTTAGTTACATTATCACCATCTGACAGCGTTGCTCATGAACACAGTTGTAAGTAATTAATAATATTCATTTGTTTTTACTACATAACGACAAACTAAAAAAAAAAATGAAGTTTTCCAGAAAATGAGTTTAAATGTTTTGAATCATTAAAATTTTGTAATATTAATTTTTAAATGTACACTTTTGATTTTGTAATAATTGATTGTAGAGGAATAAGGCTGTGATTCGATTCACGCACATAATATTCGTGAGCATCATTTAGCCTTGTTTAACATTCAATAAACAAATGATTCCAAGAGTGAGTGCAGCTAAAGTATGTTCTTTTAATCCTTAGATGCAATATCTCACAGATACATATTTCATGCCGCGATTTAATCATAATTACTATTCTTGTATTTTTCATTTTTACTCGTATATCAAAATTGATTTATTTCTGTTTATTATTTTTAAATTCAAATTGATCATGTCTGTTTCTTGTTCTTACATTCAAATTATTTTTTGTTTCTTGTATACGAGTTATTTTTTATTTTTATTTTGTAAAACTGTAAATAAAAACTAAAGACTGTAAAAAAGTTCAAAGACTACATAAAAAAAGATTAAAATAAAACTTATTAAAAATACCTTGAGTTTGAGAAAAAAGAAAGCTAAAGAACTCCTAAATTTTCGTAAAATTTTTAGTATTGTACCAAATTAAATAGCTAAGTATGTATTTGAAATATTTTTATCTAAAATACAGTATTTGCAATATCAATGTATTTTTACAAAATACACTTAGAAATATTGTTTTCAAGTAAAAGTATTTCAAATACATACCCTGTCCAGAAATTAAATTTTTTATAAGTTGTTTTTTGTAATCAAGAAAATTAATTTTGAGTAAAAAGCATAAAATCTTATTATTATTAGACAAATTATTAATCAAGGACTCAGACCGAAAAATTTCGGTGTGGATAATGGTTTGAGGCTAAATCCAACTTTTGCTCAACTTTCGCTTCCAGTCCTTTTATCAACGGGTTTTATTAACGGGTCCATTTGAATTTTGATTCTTTTTTGGTTTCGAGTTTCGGTAATTACATATCTATAACAGTCACCGTTATCACTAAAAGAACTGGAACTGATACCGAAACCGAAAGTTGGATAGCCTCGAAATCATCGTAATCAAGCCGAAATTTTAATCCATAATGTAATTTCAATCTGAGTTCTTGGTTATTAAGAGTATATCTCTGAGATATACGTTCACGTTTTTTATTAGATTCTCGTTTTTCTTTTTGCAAGCAATTCAAATGACAATTTTTTAGTTATGTTGTTGTGTAGTATATATGAGTATAATATATTCAATACTTATCACACCATCCATTTTACATTTCTATAATTTCATTTTTCACTCACAATTATTTTTGATAATCTCATTTCAGTCAAAAATTCAAACGAAGTAGCAACATATAATCATACTCAAACGCTTCAGCCGTATCAGGGCAGAAATCCGTGTATGGAAAGAAATTTAATGTTACAATCAGATTCGTTGGAAGACTTAAGCTGTAATGGTAACATTCTCGTCGATAAATCACTGAAGCATGCGTGTAATGATCAATACAAAACTGGAACAGAAGCACAAGGCTTAGTTTCGCACGATTATTTAAGTCAACATACTACTCAATTGACACAACTTAGGCCGGCAACGCCTATACCATATGTTCAAAATGTTATTTCTGATGAAGGATCATCTTATGGTAAGAGAAAACAGACAAATGTACAGGACACGTCTCTTCAAGAAAGCCCACGGAAAAAATTATTTGCCTGGCCCAATTTAAAGAAATTGCTCATCAATAAGAAAATGTATCCATATAGCAGATACCAAATAGATAGAGAAGATTCTAAGTCAAATTTATTATCAAAGCAAAATGTCCAGATTAAAACTGTAGAAACGAACGTAACAATTTCGCCTGGAGGAAAATATATAAATGGTATTATTGGTAAGACTTCTACTTCGGCGATGCCAGTAGAGAAGAATGACAAAAATATCGCACAAACGGGGAAGCAAAAACAGTATGAGAATGATAATGCGACGTCTAACGCGCGTCCTTCCACTTTGCCTCTCGTAAATTTAAGAAATAAAAAACGAGAAAATAATCTAAGCAGGCAAGAAAGCATAGATAAATTTAATGAAGTCTTTAATGTGGGTTCGAATGTAAACAACGCATTGAAAGATCCACATATGAGAATAAAAACACCCGGTGATTTGCCACCGTCTGTTAGGAAAGTTCGCGGTCGAGCGCAATCAACGGCGCGATTTTCGCTTTACGATGATCGCATGATGTGCAATATTCTGAACGAAGAGGACGATCAAAGTGACAAAGCCATTTGGAATTCTGTGCCATTTGGTATGGATCTCGGTGATAGTGATGGAAAACATTCACCAACGAAACTTGGTACCAAAAATGTTACGTGCTTTTAATCAGATATTAATGTATTTGTAAAGTCTTTATGTCTATAATATATAGAGTCAAGAAAAAAAGAAACGCTGTAAGGTATCTTCAGCTTCGATTTATGTACAGAATTTGTGTATAAGAATAAGTAAGATTTTATACTCACAAAATATATTGCTACGATACAGATTTAAATAATGAAATTTTAAAAAAATTAGAAATGTAATCAGAAGCTCGTGCTATTAAATTCATTTGTCATGTTATATTGATAGCATACTTTGGACGTAATGAATGCTTTTGATGAAATAGATGATTGGGTGACAAGTGCACATAATAATTACGGATAGAAAATAGAAAATCAAATCGATAATCTATATGCGCTGAAATGTGAGAAATGAGTTTATTATGAAATTGCTTTCATATATACGATATTTGTGATTTATTGTAATTCTTTATATTCTCAATGTTTTTTTCGATTTAATAGACTTAATGAATTTTCAGAGTAATTGATAAACATGGACAATCAATATTAACATTTACATCACATTATAAGATATTAATATCTTAATGTATAATTGTTTTTTACTTTTTTCACAGCATTTAAAAGACATAATCTCTGTGTAACAATTTCTTAATGTCAATATTTACAGAATATTCTCCATCTAATATTATTAGCTCAAAAATTTGTGAAATTATGGACGAAAGTATGTAAAGGCTTTTATTATCGATTTTATATACTTTTTCTTCACGAGAGGAGACTGTGTATTTCCTTCCTTCTATATATATAAATATATATAATTATATATAAAATGTAATTTAAGTTTAAAAGTTAAAGATCGTGCAACAAGTTTGTTCATTAATATGCAACGATATATTTATCATATATATATATATATATATATATATATATATATATATATATATATATATATAAATTTACTATTAATGCAAAGCCATGGATATTAATATAGGTGATTGTAATTATTAAAGTAGAAATAGTAAAAAGATATATTTGAGCACAAAGTATAATTGTATCGGGTTATATGAAAATTATTTTTCCTGATCCCGTAAGCTCACTGTAAATACCTGTAGTGTAAAAAAAATTATTCAAATGCGTTAAACATACTTGTTATGTTATGTTGAAGATATCATAAAGTCTTATGTTATACATTTTGCGATACTTTATCTTATGACAAGTTATTATTGGCAAAATTAAAATAAATATGATTATTCATAATAAAGCAATTCATAATAAAGTATGTCTTCTGTCAACAATTTTCGTTCTTTTATTTAAAACTAAGTTTAGTACATATAATAATGATATATTATGAGATAAATTAGATTAATTTTTTCTGGAAATATTTCAGTTTTTAGATAAAATAAAAATCCATTTTTTAAATTGTTCAATTTCCTATATATTTTTAAATTCTTGTATAATGTTAAAAGATTAATGTTTATTTTATTTAATAGTTCTTGTGTAAAAGATTAATGTTTATGTTATATATTTAATAAATTACATTTTTTAATATGTTCGTTATTAAATATTCTTAATTTTTTCTTTCATTAAAAATGCGATTTATTTATATTTTTAAGTAATTTTTAGTAAACAATAATTATAACGTACAATTTGTTATTAATAGCATAACAATTCATTAGATACTGCGTGTATCGTAATATGTATATGTGTTATAATTTGTATATACATAAATAAGTTCTTTTTTAATTTAATTAACTTTGCGCATCACGTCTTACTTCACTGAAAACTTCACTAACTTTTTACACTATTTACACTTTGGGTAACATGATCGACATTTGGAGTGACTTGGATTGGACGCCATGAGTACTTGGGTACTTCATGTGAAATCGTATTAATAAATTTACATTTATAAAAAAGTGTTTGATATTAAAACAAATTGAAAATCATGACTATCGTAACTCTTTTAAGCCGCAATGTCAATTTAAGTCAGTTATCGAAGCTGCGACTGTGTATTTACGAAGTAAGATTTTTACCTTCACTAAATTTTTAGGTTATGAGTTTCAATCGCTTTTGCATAATTCAATAACAGAAATTTCAGTATGATTTACTATACTGCGTAACTTTTCTAGCAAAATGTGCGATTTTTTGCATCGCCCGCTAAATTCGCTGAACACAAACCGTTGGAGAAGCTCAGGAACATTGGTATATCGGCACACATCGATTCCGGAAAAACTACTTTAACCGAACGTATCTTATATTATACTGGTAGAATATCTGAAATGCACGAGGTAAATCTAAAATTTAATCATTACACGTGTCTTTATAAGTGAACTGATTGTTTCTATAATGTGGCTAAAAAATCTCATGTATACATTGCATTGATGAAAAAGTAAAAAATTACATTGGTGAGATAGTAAAAGAAAATCGATTCTAAAGATTAATATATTATTGTGAAAAAAAGACACATTTATCAACCTGTTTATACGGAAAAGTTTCACAACTCTGAAGGATGAATTATATAATCCCATTGTAGTTGCACTGTTCAAATTTTAAACATTCCTGACATAATTTTAAAAATTATATTATAATTGAAAATACAACATGTGAAAATAAAGTAAAGTTTTGCACATTATTCTGATTAAAATGTTCTAATTCAGAAAAAATTAAAAGACATAATTATTGAAAAATTGATAATTCTGAAAAATTGATAATTCGTGTCTATCAACTTAGTATGTATGTGCGTGTGTGTATGTATATATAGATATACAGGATGATTTATATAAAGTGACTGATTTAATTATTAGCAAAATTTAAAGATATATGAAAAAATAATTTATATCAACGTGTTCAGTATAAAGGGGAACATTATATATTAGAAACATTTTATGGATGGAGGTATTCAGGACATTTCAAAGTCCACTTAATTTTTTTTAACGAAATACTGTATTTTTTATTTTATTGTACAACAATGAACATTGTATGACAACTCTTTTTAAGACAAGTTCATGGATATATTATAAAGAACATTCAAGGTTAATCTTGGTCATAAAATTGGACTCGATGAACTTGACAGAATATTATTTGATGTTTATGGCTATGTTTATAACCTTAATGGAGAAGTGTTGTTATTCAAGTCTTAACACTGAGCATAATAACTAATTACAGTATTACAGTAATTTACAAGTTGTGGATATTTTGATAACTTTTGGTAAATATGAAAGATGTATAACTGAACCTGCAAGAGTATCAAATGAATGTCATAGGTGGTGATCCAGATGGTCCAGATGTTATCAAAGTCATATAATTTTTATCTGAAACTTTTCATTTTCCCATATCACCTTCTTGAAATATTCTAGTATCATTTAAAATAAAACAACCTGTATATATATATAAATTATGTATAATAATACTAAATTTTTGCTGTTAGGTAAAGGGAAAAGATAATATAGGTGCAACTATGGACAGCATGGAATTAGAAAGGCAAAGAGGCATCACTATTCAATCTGCTGCTACATACACATTATGGAAAGATCATAATATCAATATTATTGATACACCAGGACATGTGGATTTCACAGTGGAAGTTGAAAGAGCTCTGCGCGTCTTGGACGGTGCTATCCTCGTCCTATGCGCTGTAGGTGGTGTCCAGTCACAAACTCTAACTGTAAATCGACAGATGAAGAGATACAGCGTACCCTGTTTAGCATTTATCAATAAGTTGGATAGAATGGGTGCAAATCCAGAAAGAGTTCTACAACAGATGAGGAGCAAACTGCATCACAATGCTGCATTTATACAGTTGCCGATTGGTTTGGAAAGTAATACAAAGGGTATAGTTGATATAATTGCGCAAAAAGCAATTTATTTTGAAGGAAATTTCGGAGAAATTGTTAGGGAGGATGAAATTCCAAAAGACATGAACGCAGGTATAAAATAATAAGTTCAAGATAGATTTATATTCTATAAAGTTTTAAAATTTATAAATTTACTAAATTTAAATTATGTCAATTAGAGGTAAATAAAAGAAGACAAGAATTAATCGAGCATTTAAGCAATGCAGATGATACATTTGGTGAATTGTACTTGAATGATACAAAAATAACTGAAAAAGATATTATGGATGCCATACGCAGAAGTTGTATAAAAAGAAAGTTTACACCTGTGTTGATTGGTACTGCATTAAAGAATAAGGGAGTTCAACCATTATTAGATGCGGTAATAAACTTCTTACCAAATCCAGGAGAAGTAGAGAATTATGCTCTTCGAGAAAACTCTGAGTAAGTTTTTTATATTAGTATAATTTGCTTGATATATAATGATACGTAATAATTTATGAATAAATTTTAGCGGCGAATCTATCAAAATTTTATTGGATTCTACTCGTAATGACAAGAAACCTTTCGTTGGATTAGCATTCAAGTTGGAAGCTGGAAGATTCGGTCAATTAACATATTTTCGTTGTTATCAAGGAATGTTAAAAAAATCGGAAAGTTTATATAATACAAGAACACGAAAGAAGGTAATTGTGTGTGTGTGTGTGTGCGTGCGTGTGTGTGTGTGTAACATAATATTTTCATTATACTATAATTATCACTAAAAATATTTTTTTTTAAATGCCATAATTATATTTCAGGTACGAGCACAAAAATTAGTTAGACTTCATGCAAATCAAATGGAAGATGTTACAGAAGTTTATGCAGGAGATATATTTGCTATATTTGGAATAGACTGTGCTTCTGGTGACACTTTTGTCACAGATTCTAAACTAGATTTGTCAATGGAATCGATTTATGTTCCCGATTCCGTGGTATCTATGTCTTTACAAACAAAACATTCGAAAGATCGAGACAATTTTGCTAAAGGTATTAGCCGATTTACTAAAGAAGACCCAACCTTACGTTTCTATTATGACACAGATAACAAGGTAATATTTTTTATATCATTTTTAACAAAAATCACTTTTGTCTTTGAAATTTATGTTATTTTAATTTATATCTTTTATAGGAAAGTATAATTTCTGGTATGGGCGAATTGCATTTGGAAATTTATGCGCAAAGGCTAGAACGTGAATATAATTGTCCGATCGTTCTTGGAAAGCCAAAAGTTTCTTTTCGCGAGACTTTAACTGAACCGTGTGGATTTGACTATCTTCATAAGAAACAATCTGGTGGTGCTGGCCAATATGCTCGCGTGACTGGAATTATAGAAGTATAAATTTAATAGATTTGTATCATTAATGTTTATATTATTTATCAATATCGCATTTTGAAATTTTTTTATTTTGATGTTTTTTTCATGAAGAAAAATTTGTTTTTTCAGCCCTTGCCACCTACGAAAAATACAATCATCGAATTTTCGGATGAAACTATAGGCACCAATGTCCCGAAACAATACGTTCCAGGTGTAGAAAGAGGTTTCAGAGCAATGTGCGAAAAAGGTTTGCTCAGTGGTCATAAACTCGCTGGTATTAAGTTCAGATTACTCGATGGCATGCATCACTGCGTCGATTCTTCGGAATTTGCCTTCTTCCAAGCCGCGCAAGGTGCTGTTAAAAATGTTTTTGAAGCTGGTATCTGGCGAATTTTGGAACCGATCATGATGGTTGAAGTAGTTGGCCCGCAGGAATTTCAGGTGCAATAATATTGCCTATACATTCATTTTGCATTTATATACCTTACTGCTTTCCATTAGACGTACAATTTTTCACGTGTTTGTTTATAGGGTACAATATTAGGACAACTCACTAAGAGAAAAGGAATCATAAACTTCACGGAAGTGGTAGATGAATGGTTCACCATTATGGCGGAAGTGCCACTTAACGAGATGTTTGGTTACTCCACTGAATTGAGATCAAGTACTCAAGGCAAAGGAGAGTTTACTATGGAATATGCAAGATACAGCCCTTGCTTACCGGAAGTACAGGAACAACTTGTTAGACAATATCAAGAATCATTGGGAATAGTAATTGAGAAATCTCAAAAATGGAAAAATTAACTATAGACGAAATGAATATTTCTTGTTTTCTAGTGAAATTGCGCAATATTATCATGAATGCTATAAACGCATTATGTTAATATACGCATTGTTTATACTTACTCATTTAATATACTCGACATAAACCGATAAGTAAGTTATCAATAATATATATAATTAATGAATGGTAAAAAAACAAATATGTTCATATACTTCATATACTTAACCGTGTACAAATGTATCGAGTTGTAAATATTAGTCCACGTGCAAAAATATGTGATATAAAATACGAAATAAATATGTAGAAAATAGTTTTTACTTCCGTACATGTATGAAAAATTGTTTTATTTTACCATTCACTTTTAGGTAATATTTATCTTAATGTTTTATGTATATACATAACATTCTTAATATTAGAATAAAAAGTAACCAAAATGACAGGTTATAATTTTTTTTTTAATTATTCTGGTTTATAATCATTTTCTGAGATCTTTCACGATTTATTGTAATATGTTAATAATTAATAACTCTTCTTTGTTTATTGTTATTAAATAATTAATTTATTTTCTTAAAATCTTTTTTTAAAATGTGTATATATGTATATATACACACACAGTACACACATATGTTATATATATATAGATATAAATTGTTGATAGTCCTAGTATTAATTCTACAACAAAACAAAGTTATAATTCATTTATGTTCTTTCTAGCTATACATTATATAGTTAGAAGCCACGTATACTTTCTTCTAATTATCATCTTTCTTACAATACTTAATTATGCTTATTGTAGAAATGCGAAGAATGCAATGTTGGATAGTACAAAAGATCTACTGAAGCCAGCATGAAATTACGTAGCGCAGATTGAAGATCGCAAGTTAGAGATTAGAATTTGATCAATTGGTACAAATTTAATTGTTCGATATCTATTTTTCAATTCGCAATTTTCGATTCTTGATTGTTTCGTACGAGCTTAAAATTTGAATGACCCTCCCTCGGTTGTCATGACAACGGCGCCTCGCCCGTCGTCAGGTGGTGCAACGATCGCTCACAGAATGTGACGAACGCGACGCCGTGCTCGCCTTGTAGCCGACGCTGAGACCGATTACCGAGTCGGTGCGCGATCAGTAGCGGCACTGACATTCGGGGGAGTAGACGGCACGCGTGGTATCCGTGTACTCTGTCGCGTTTCCGTAGCACGAGCGGATCGGAGCGCGCGTCGCGCGCGGGTGCTACGCCAGGAAGGCCACTTCCGCCTTTCCGGTTGCGCATCGTCGGGGCCGCTGCATTGCCTGCGGACCGCGTCGCGTGTGCCCGTGTCCGAAAAATGTAATATGGCGATGGTTGCGTCGAACATGAGCGGCCACATACAGAAGCAGCTCACCAGGAGCCTCGAGCGGATTCTGGAGGAGGCGCACCTGAGCGGCGAGCTCAAGCTGAGCGGCCGTAAACTCAAAGACTTCCCGAAAGTCGGGAAGGCCGGCGCGGCTAAATATAATTTGCAGGATACCGTAATCGCCGGTGAGTCCTCATTATTTTTTCCCGGGGTTTTCCGGAGTCATCACTCTTTTTTTTTTTCTTTTCGCTTTCTTGCCGAGCGCTCGAAACGTAAGAGAAACACTGATTGAAATATCGATTTTTGTAAAATTTTGTTTATGTCCTCTAATTTTGTTTGCTTGCGCTTCTTTACGATGTCGCCGCGCGTCTTATGTCACGGCGAACCCGCGTGTATTCAATGTTCGACGGATTGACAGCGTCGTGTTGATGCACGCGCTATTGTAACTCCGAAATTCTCAATGAGCGTTTCATGAACGGCATTTATCAGGTGTTTACTGTCTGGGAAAACGTAGAAACCTGGAATTTTCGGGAGATTTTTTTTATCCTTGAAAATCAAAGATTTTTTTTTCATGGAATTTTATCGGGACATTTTAGATAAATTTTGAGAATTTTACTTTTAAATTTAAATTATATGTCTCTTTCTGAAAACAATATTTCTTGAATCATTTTTTCTTGATAACGCAAAATGTTGACAGTTAAGAATAAGTATAACGTACACATCCGTATATTTATATACATTCTTGTGTATTTCGTGTGTTTTTTTAATACAAATATCAGGGTAACATTAAAAGACAATGTATCGATAAAATAATAATGATTTTACTTATACGTTTTGTGATTAATTGTAGAAAATGACAGATATAATCTCGTTGAATTCTTATCTTCTATTAATTTTTAATACATTGTTTGGATTGTGCTTGACTTAAATTTATTTTAAAGTTGCATTAAGAGATTTTCTAATCTTATCTGACTTATCTTATTTTGAACAAAAATATCTTCAAAATATGAAATTCTTTTACAAGATTTCAGAATACACTGATTATGCAGAGAGATGCAATCCAAGTTTCCGCGATCACTCTTGTTATTTTTAAAAAGTCTGTGTATCTAAATATAATTATCTATTTTTGGTAAATATGTTCGAAAGTCTATTTTCGGCGAAAATACAAGAGTTTTAGAAAAATTTCGATACTTTTATTACTTCTGATAAAGCTTGCATAAAAATATTGATCTAAATTTAGTTTCTTTATTTTTATTTGCATTTTAAATATATTCGAAAACATACGAATCTTTAGAAAAACGTCGATACTTTTATTTCCCGTAATATTTATTTGTGTATCCTCGAATAAGGTTATTCCTTATCTGGATTTGGATCAACATTGTATGCAAATGGGAATCGAGAATCTATAAATTTTTGACGATTTTTCGCAATTTGTAATTAGTCATCAGCATTTTTATCTAATGCATTGAAACGTATTTCTAATATATATCGAGCTTTTATAATATGATTAATATTTTAAAGATTAGTAGCTATATATTTAGTAGATAACCGAGAACCGAGAATATATCATTCAACAAAAAAATCTGTTCCAATTCTCAGCAGCATAAAAATCTCTATACTCTCTCTGATGGAAATAATTAAAAAATTCCTTCAAAAGATTTCTTCTTCGAATCTTCACATCTGCAAGATTTTAATCTACAAGTTAAAATGTGTAATATTCGCTCAGTGTTAATGTTTATCAGAATAGTTCAATTAAAAATAAAATATCCTCATATAAAAATTTTCTTTAAATTTATTGGTAGTTATTATACAAAAATTACATTCATAAGGGAGAATTATTTCTTAGTGATGAATAATAATATTTCATCGGGGCGCTGCAGTTAATTCCCTTGGATCATTCAAGGAGCGAATAGTACCGTTTGTGCCAAGTGCAATGACCAAAGAAACCTTTAAGCATTACCTAACGCACGTGCACCTGCCAAGTTCGACATCTGGCGTGCATTACTCATCGGTAATTGTAACTGATTGCAAAGACTTCGTAGCAAACATAGGACTGGCAGATTTATTAAACATTCTGCTACTAAGCACCTAGACGGCACTTTGAAAACATTACAGCGAATTAGATTCGCATTCTCATTGTATTTATGCTTAATGTCTATTCTTCAAGTTTCATTTCATTTTTAATCCAATCTGAAATACGAATATTTATATTTTGACTATTTTGCGATTATAAATAGTTAAGTCTGAACTAATAATGAGTTGACGTAAATTATTAAAAATAAGATAGTTGTTGTGTAAATAGTATTTAATTTATATTAATAATTTATATTAACAGATTGCGAAGAGATTTTATTTTTTACGTCAGCTTTATTTTTTCACTTTGTAAAAGATAACAAAATCACATTTATTACGAAACATAAAAAAAATAATCATTTAAGATAGATTTCTCACTTACGTAATCAAACATGATATACATTTTTATAAATATGTCTAAATTTAATATAGTATCACAGAGTATAATTTTATTTTAAAACTAAATATACGTTAAGAGAAACAAGAATCTCGCTCAGTTTATTTCACTCGGTATAATCCCTGCACTGCAGACATTAAAATTCTTTTTTTGACTGCGCTATTTACTCCCGCACGTATCCCTTGGCTTCGCACATAAAAATGCTCATAAAATTCATGCCGCAGGCTCCCGGGAGTCAAACTCATATCTCTGTGAAGTTACTATTAATTCTTTGTATGCCAATTAGCAATAGAAAAAATATTGGAAGTACTGGAAATACTGGATATACTGGAAATTGTTGAAGCTTGGGTAAAGTTTATAGCAAAAGTATGTGGAATTCGCTACACTGACGTATCATTATCGTACATAAAGAGACATGTCTGTACAAGATGAACACAAATGAGCGTGACAAAACGGATTACAGAAATGTAAACTCGTGGGATCTCTTCATAATAAAATTACATAATAACGCAGATAACACACATATATGTACATATTCTTTTTTTTTTTCAATTATGAGGCGAAATAATATTTAATGTTATCACATACGATACGCTCCATGTTAACAAGATGTAATTATTGTTTTTATGATGACATAACACTTCGTCCGTTTGAAAGTC